TGCTCGAACGGGATGCTGGACCATGCGGATGACGCAGTCAAATTGGTCCGAACTCCGTTCGGTATTTCTGCTTTCTGGGTCGGCCTCTACTCGGACCGAACCTCGTTCGGTATGGATTCTTCACTGGGCCTACTCATCATAGGGTACTTGACTCTTTGTTTGGGCCGGATATCCTGGGCCTTTTTAATCCGGGTATTGGGCCTCCGGGTCAATAACCCAACATTATTAAATCTAACAATTACTAAAAAACTCATAAAAGTATAATCAGGGGCGGCTATAAGGAGAGTTAGTCAAGACAAAATGCCTTGGGCCTCATATTTTAGTGGGGCCTCAAAAAACTTATTTATACTATAAAATCGATAGTATCTATTTTAATTGAGAAAACTTCACAAGTAGACTTAAAATGAAAACAATATCACTTTTTTCACCTTTTAAATTTTTCTTTCGAGAAAAGACTTGTAACATTTTTCTTTCATAAATAGACCAAATATATGACTGGCCCACTTACTGGAGTTACGGACTACGGAGTATACATTTCAAAGGAGCGGGTATGAGAATCCCACTCTACCGCTATGCATCCTCTTTGATAAACTAATAAAAGCTCAAGAATGTACTTAGTTTATGTTTATAATTAAATCAATGTAAAAATTTATGAAAATATAAAATTATTAAAATAATAAAATATGTCTACCAAAAAATTAAAAAATAAAAAGAAACGTAAAATATATACATATAAAAAAAATAATTATACTAAGAAAAAACAAGAATGCATAATAATAAATACAAAGTCTAAAACTTCTAACCAAGTCTAAATAATACTCCTGTCAGAAAAATATGTAAAAGTAAATATTGAAACCTTATAAATATAGAACTCAAAAATAAAAATGAAACACAGTTTAAAGTAGTTTAAAAATTGTAAACAAAAAAAAAAGAATTTTTGTAAACTGTAACGTAATATTTTAAAAAGAGTTTCTATACCCCATACTTTATAAAAAAAATGTTTAAAAAATAAAATAAATCTAATTTTTTATGAAATTACGTACAACAATACAAAAAGAAAAGTATATCAAAATATAAATATTAAAATGTAAGAAATCAAAACATTTCTCAAAATAAAAAATGTAAATTGTTCTTTAAAAAAATTTATAATCTTAAAAATTATAAAAATAAAAATATAAATAAAAACAAATATGATTTTTATTGTTTATTTTTGTTTCTTTTTGTTTTTTTATTGTTTCTTTTTATTTTTAGATGTCGTTTTTATATTCATAAATTCATATTTATTATTTTAGGTGTTTTCATACAAATCTACTATACATAGCAACTATAAATAAAATGAAATATGATTTTTATTGTTTATTTTTGTTTCTTTTTTGTTGATAATTCTATAGATTTTTTTTTTGTTTCTTTATGTTTCTAGGTTTCGTTTTTATATTCATAAATTCAAATGTATTACCTTAGGTATTTTATTTCCAATAAGTAGCAAAGATGAAGAGAGACCTAAATATTAAACAACAAAAATTAAAATCCACAATAAACAGTAGTAAACAATACATTGCAACAAAATGCAACACGATACAACAAAAAGAAACACAATGCAACAAAAAGCAACAAATCTCATTCAACAAAAAGAAACAAAAAAGCAACATGTAAATGTATCATACCTAATATATAATCCAACGATTATTTAATATATTACATTGTCTATTATGCTATTTCGCTATGCTTGATCATTTTCTTCTTCATTAGATGCATTTTAACACGGAATCCACCAACTTTGTCTCACTGCCTTCATTTCCTAGTTGAACTTAATCTAATTATCATCTCCATGTACTTCACATTTGTGCCTGCAATGACAATGAAATCAATATAACACAAAAATGAAATCAATTATTACAAGGAAAAGAAAAGATCTTGAAGGGATGACCCGTTAAGAGAGAAAACTTAAGGATAATGAGTACATCAATTCATCCATAAATGTAGGGATGCCAATACCTAAAGATCATTCAAACAGAGGGAACTTAAAGATAAAGTTTAACGTCCAAATCACTAAAAAGTTGACCGCAGACATAAGGATGAGTGAACCAACTTTCTTGCTAAAATTATTTCTTACAATCTCTATGGATATGATTATGGAGCAACTTATATATGATTCACGTTACCAAGAAAAAATCTAGGCCACTGAAAATATTCTATTAAGATGCTAACATATATAGTACCATACGGGTTCGTGATTAAGCCAAAAAATTTACAGGAATGATAAATATGGATCACTTAGCCTCTTTAGTTGAGGACGGGAAGGATAAATACAGGAAGAGCTCTTTGGGGTCCAATTCCATGCTATTAGTATTACAACAATAGAAACCTTTTCCAATCACAAAGAGATTGGTATGCATTATGAAGCAAAGGCCAACAGATTGTTTCAAAGGCAAAAGCATGGGCCGTTTCTTATTGAAGAATTTAAGTAAATCCCTATTCACTATTGTTCTATCATGAAGAAAGAATATTTCATATGGACTGATGGAATTGCCTCAACTTCTTTTGCAGTTCCCAGAGGATTTCATCAAATGGAGAACATGAGAACATGTCTTGAAAGTGGGGAATAAACCTATAAGCACCTCATTTTCTACACTTCGATATCATCTCTTCTATGTCAAACATATTTCCATATTAAATTTTCACAGGGATCAATAGAAGTTGTTCAATATAACAAACAACATGAATAAATATGGATTTTCAAAATATGAATCTGAGATCATCATAGATACATAACATACATAGTACCGTAAATATGAATCTGAAATCATCACACATGAAGAGTACCAGAAATACTAATGCGAGATTATCCAAAAATCTATGAACAAAGCAATAAATCCAAGTCATATTGAAGATAAAGTGATTGGATACACACCGGAGCAGTCGGGCAAGAAGTGACAGAGGGCGGAGCTGCGAAGCGATGGTGGTCGAAGAACACAGCAGGCGTAGGGCAGGAAGGGAACAACCTTTAGTTCCGCAAATATGAATCTGAGATCTCTGACTTATCTACTTAACGTTTCAATTCGATTCACTGGGAGACCGTGAGGACAGACGAACGATCTAGGAGTGAATAACGAGGGAGACTGCTTGCAATCGATGATCTAGGAGTGAATTATGGATGTGAGAAACATATTGAGATTGACTGAGAGAGCGGTGGTGTCTGTGAGGGGTGCAGTTGAGGAAATTGATCGAGAGATATGGAAGAAGGATCGAAGGACAAGTGTTTAAGCGCTTTTTGAAATTATAAAACTAAAGTGAAAAGCAGAAAGATAAATATGAAATATATTATGCAGATGGACATAACTGAAATGTTGAGTATGAAAGGTGACTTTGCAGGTAATTACCACATTTTAATTTTAGTAGTTTGGAAGCAAAGATATCATATTTTTTATATATTGGTAACCCAAAGATAGATAAAGTGATTTTAGCTCTAATTAATTAGCAGGCTCGTAGCCACTAGCCACCATATTAATGAATTATTGAAGTAATGTTTAATTAGTTTGATCGACGTAGTTATTTGGTTATTTTTTATTTTCACTTATTATTGTTGTGTTTGTGAACTTTAGTTTTTTGTTGACTGCTTTATTTTTTCTTTTTGTAAGTATGTTACTAGGGCAAACAAAAATCAAGAATTGTAGGGATTTAAAATTTAGAAGTACTACGAAGATTGTCTCATATCAAATTTAGTAAATTTTGTGTGACTTTAAATCAATCTTACTTTATTCTTACTTTATCAATTCAATATCAAAATCTTTTCGGAATAAGGTTTCAATGTTGTAGCTGTTGATGGCTACATTGTCACAAAAGGGTTAATTATATTCTAAAATTAAAATGAGAATGAGATCTTTTTAAATGGAACGTCCAAAAGAGACAAATGATAAATGTTTACTTGGAGCGGAGGAAGTGTAAGGTTTGATCCATTTTGTGTATGTTTACATTTTAAAAATTTATTATTTTGATGTTCACTACTCTTTCAATACACATTTTTTCTTCACATTTTTTATTTTTATTTTATTCAATTTATCTATTTTTTTGTCTTTTGTGTTATAAAAATCACATTATAATGATATAGTGTTTTCGATCTGGGACCTCCAGAGTTGTAAAGGCACCTCTAAGTATAATGTCATATTGTCATGTGCCAAACATGGAAAAATGACATAAATATCACCTTTAACCCTTTGGTTAATTAACTCAATTCAAAAAAATCATTTTTTTCTTATTGTAATTTATATTCAATCTCTCCCTAGCCCACACCTGCTAGCTGCCATCCAGAACCACCGTAAAAAAAAATCACCAAAAAAGTATGTTGACTTTTTCTTCTTCTTTTCAAAAAAAAATATTAAAATTCACAACAAAATCAATAGAAATTTTCTTGCAATCACAATGACATATCACACAAGGGCAGTGACCGTTGTTCTTGACATAAAAATATGACAATGTCATCAATATATTACCATATTAGTCACATTTTTATTTATATATAAAAGTAATTATTCTTTTCTTGAAAAAAATTATATTTAAAATATATTTTATTAATAAAATAAAGAAAATATTATATTAAAAATAGTTAAAATGATCATTTATGGTAACATCAACCTTACTTTTTATTACTATATAATCCGACGTGAGAAACCAAAAGTTACATATTTGATGAAAAAGTTGACTGATAAGTCACATAATACGAAAAACATGGTTATCAAACGAGCTCTTAATTTTGTGAAAATGCACAACTACTTTCCAGAGGAATCAACCCTAGTCCTGTAACAGCGTAACCTGTTAGGAGAAGCCGTTACCAATGTGCACGCGCTCCAGTCCAGAACCGAAAAAACAAGCACAATATCAGTTTCTTTACCTTACCGTTAAGATTCCAAAATAGTGGGGTACAACAGTTACTCTGCTATTTCATTTTGGTCTAAAAAATCTCAAATATATCATTGTGAGAGAGACCAAAATAAATCAAGGTGGTGGGATTCAAGGATCGTTTTCCTTTCATGAAAGAGGATAGATATGTGATCTTCACGAGAAGAGAAGTAATTCACAAATAATTGAAATATAGGTAACATGAAATAAATAATATTGTTGTCATCATCTATGCGACTATGGAATTTTCTGGTTGCCTGAGACTACCTGTACTCTCAGGCTTAACATAACTATCTATCAAAAGAACAAATGACAGATAACCTGTTAGACTTCACATATCATTTAGCCTTGTGCAGTGGGTTAAGTTGGTTTTGCATCTTTTTGGTCCATCATATCACAGAGCAGATAACTTGCTGCAATGCGCATGATCCATTTGTAATAAAAAGGCGGTACGGCATGGTGTTCTCCCGTGTTTCGCAAACTAGAGCTGCAAACCCTGTCCGTGTATCCAGACGGGGAATCTCCTTGCTACTTGTTCTTCACTAGGTCGAGGAGAAAATCTGTGAAGATGTGTTCATATTCTGGGATTTTCCCATACCCTGCATTTGCAGCAAGTGAATAAAGAATTATAGTGAATAAAGAATTTATCACTTTTCTCTTCCAACTATTGTGACAATTGTATTTTTTCTTTTACTTCTCTGGTTATAGTGAAAAACACCTTTGGTACCTGTCTTTAGATTTATCTTTTAGGATTTCCGAAGCAAAGGTCCAAGACTGAATAGTGGAAAACTAAGAAATGAGTGCAAAATGTATCTGTCACAATAGTGAGTGGACTTAAAGTAGAAGAATTTAGCGAAGGGTTCCAAGAGTGTTATTGCCATGGAACTTTAAATACGAATACCGAAAAATGTTTTCCACACAATAGTAGAATGATTAAAAATGGAAAAACCCAGTACACTCAGAGAAAAGATATGAGAAAGAAATAAAAGACCTTTGTTTTAGAGGTCACCAGTAAAAAGTTCCTTGTTTAAAATGAGGTTATTATATAGGAGGAGCCTAATTACCTGGAAAATAATTGATATCTATGACATAATACCGGTCCTTTGTTCCATTTTCTCTAATCATATCCAGGTTGAAGAGCCGGAGGCCCTACAACGAAACATACAATTACAAGGTTAAAAGCTACAGAAATGCCGGAACAGTTTTATGGAATAAATACTTGGAATAAAACAAGCAAAATATGCAGCAAAATACCAATCGTCTGCGTAGCTCCTTTGCAAGTCTCTCAAGCAATGGTCTTGGAGGAAGTTCTGTGAAAATATTAAAATTGCACTAACTTATTATATAACAGTCGATGGTAAAACCATAACTCAAGGACAATTTTCTGAGCTATTGGGAGCATAAATAAACTTTAAAAAAAGAAGAGGAACTGTATAAAGACATAGAATGAAAGGCACACAAATGAATGTGTAGTGTAAATTTACATTAAGAAATACTCTCTACATCCCTGTTAAAGGTGCCCCTTTACTTGGCAGTTGGCATGCTTAGTGAGAACCAAGTAATTGTGTAGAATTTATGCAGTGTAGAGAACTAGAGAAAAAATTGGAACCACATGGTCACACAGAGGACTCTTATTTTAGGATGGACGACATACACACACATATATAGTCAAATCCAAAGAGGATATAAACTAACCAGCAACACGTGGGTCTAAATCTGCCTCCTCTGCAGAAGCAGCTGCACAAGAAACCCTAGGAAAATGAAAAACGCCATCGTTTTTTAAGAGCTCCCGTCTGCCTACATCAGGCAATGAGAATCTCCTGACCACCTTGATTGCTTCTCCAACAATATAAACCTTGAACATGACACCACCTAGAAAGAGAAAACATTATTTAAATGAAACATATAAGATGGTGCTGGGTCTCTACGGCTACAAGGAAAGCACAAGTTTGATCAGGCGATAAATATATACCATGGTTGATAAACTCTTGCAAAACCAGTGGGGGTTCAAGTTTCTGAAGCGAGACCTTATCGTAGGCTAGTGATAAATCATGTGACTTGGCAACTAACGGCTTTGCAACTAAAATGCATGAAACCATAGAAAGACATGACTATCATTTTTGGAAAAGTAAAAATTATTATATACAAGAAACATATTTGCAATAAGTGGCATATACAGACCAAGCGGTAGTCTAAGACCAGCTCTAGTGACTGCATCTGGAATGGAGGAAGAATCATACTCAATGACCAACTGCCTAGGAACATCAACTTTACCTGCACATATGGAAGTATATGTTTACCGTTTAGCATAAGGCCAGTCAAAGTTCAACTACACATTCACGAATAACAATCCGTCAAATGAAACTCCCCTAAGCCCTTGTTTGGTAGGAGGGCTTTGGAGGAAGTGGAGATTTGTGTGTTTTGTTTGGGGAGTTGGGGGAAGGGAAGGAAAGTGGAGAGTTGTGTGTTTCTGGGGGCGGGGGGTCATTTTTTTCTTAACTTCTTTTTCATCATCCTTTAGTCAAGTGTTCTAAGTTTTTATTGTTACACATATAAACTGATACATTGTAAATGACAACAAAAATTATATTACCATTAATTCACGCTTTAGAAAGTGCACCACACATGACACAGTGACACATATAAGGAATATATTACAAAATGGCATTTCTATCACTGTAAAAGTTCAACCTTAAATGCTTCTTACTCCGTATATCATTTCAAGGAAAATAGGGAAAAGTCAAAGAGGAAGAATTGGGAAGATTATTTAAACGATGATTATTTTGGGACAAAAAATATTAGCTAAAATGGGAAAAAACTGGGATGAAGCAAGTATAATACATTTATATATTTTTCTAATATAATAATTCATCACTCCTTTACTAAACCCAACAAAGGCCAAGAAGAGATGATGTACAATAGCGATAAACAAAACAACACAGGGTAACCGAGGACACCGGATGTCAATAAAAAAAAACAAAACAAAACAACACAGAGCATGATGTTAGATTACCATATCCATCTGAGAATTTCAAGTCTACAACCTCTTGAAGCATGTACTGGCGATCATAGATATTCTGTATTGCATCTGGGGGGTCTAGAACCGTTACATTTGGATGTGTCATACTATATTCCTTCATAAACAAAAATTGAAATGTATGAAGTCAGACTGTAAAGTGTAGTTGGAAAGACCTAATGGAATATGATGTAATGTAATCACATGCACATGTAAAGAAAATTCACACAAAAAATACGGAGTATTTGGTTACAATGTAATACGTTTTGCCTATTTACTTATTCTTTATAATCTCTTTTTTAATAATTTGGTAAGGTGTTCCCTGACAGGGCCGACACTTACCCCATCCTCGGATGGTTTGCCACCAGGGCTGGTAAAAAACAATGTAATATGTTTTACCAAACTAGGCCTGAATTTCCCACTATATGCTTAAACTGAGTTGAGTATACAAAGGTTCTAGGTGTGCAAAACATAAGAGAGGACCTTACATAGTGTAGTTACTCCATTCATTCTCGAATGAATGTCATTCAGCTAAATGCATTTTGTTTACAAACCCAACATAAATACAAAACAGAGAAAAAGCAGGTTTGACAAACAGTAAGTGTGGTGTTGTAGAAATCAATGATATGCACAAAATTAAAAATTATTTGTGGAACCAACCTCAAGTATACTCTGCCACTTGCTTCCTGTTAGCTGCATCCATAATGTGGACAAACAGGGAGTTGTTAAATTGCACCCTAAAGAGATCCAAATGCATATTGAAACCAAAGTCACGAAGGGAGAGTAGAGAAGCTTATATCAACTCACCTTGTGGAGCACAATATCGAAAGGGCCTTGATCTGAAAGGGATCTACTTTGATCAATAGCAACAAACAGTATTCCCTTGTTTCTGTAATGTGTTAAACAAGAGTTATTCATTTTATTATGGTAGAAGCACAGAAAAATCGGTATATCAATTCATATTCTTAGAAAAGAATAAGTTTTAAAGTAAATCCATTAGTAAGTTACAACTACAACAACAACAATCAGTCTTAGTCCCAAAAGATTTTGGGGTCAGCTAACATGAATAACGAAGCCAAAAAGAGAAGAAAGATAAGAGATAAAAAGATAAGGTTAGATGAAAAATGATAAGATAAAGATACAGATTCTTTTAAACCCGTTTAGAGTGGGTTAGATAAAAATAAATACTATCTATAAGATAAAGATAAAAATGATAAGATAAAGATGGTAAAAAGATCATATATAAAATACAAAGGGTAAAAAGATAAAGAAGATAAAAAGAAAAATAGGGAGAAAAGAGATCAATCTTCCACACAAATATTCGCCCTCCACTTTGTTCTCTCCAAAGTCATAGTCTCATCCAACCCAAAAGGAAGCATATCAATCCTGGTTCCTCCAATCCACGCTTGTTTGAGTCTTCCTCTCCTTTCTTCCCTGCCTCTTTTCCCCACCTCTCAACTCGTCTAACAGAGACATCACTCGATCTTCTACACACATGACCAACCACCGTAATCGAGACTCCCACGTCTCATCTTCTATACGTGTTACTCCCACTTTTTGTCTTTTATCTCATTCCTTAAGTGGTATTTCAACTCAACATGCACATATCTACAACATTCATCTTTTGAATGTGACATTGTTTCACCGCCCAACACGCTAAATCATACAATCATGCAGGCCTAATTGTTGTCCGATAAAATTAACCCTTCAATCTAGTTGGCCTTTTTCGATCACATAAAACTTCTGACGCACTCTTCCATTTTATCCACCTTGTTCTAATTCTATTGGATACATCTTCATCTTGTTTGCCGTCCTAAATTATGGAAGCTAAGTAACGGAACATATCACATATTGGTATCTCTTTGCCATCAAGTAACCCCACTATTATCACTACTTCCACCTCCACCAAATTTGCACTCCATATACTCCGTCTTGCTTTGACTAAGTTTGAAACTCTTGATCTCCGATGTTTGTCACCGTACTTCCAACTTTGCTTTAACATCCGATTGTGTCTCATCAATCAATAAAATATCCTCTTGAATTGACTTCATAACTTCATCCATGACTATAACAAACAAAAAGTACTCAAAGCCGATTATTGGTGCACTCTGATAGTTATAGGAAACAACTTTGCAGTTCTGCCCCACACTAGTACAAACATTTGTAATACAGCCCATCCATATCCTGTGGATATACTTACGTTATATGTTTTTTCTAAGTCAATTAAAACCAAATATAGATCCTTTTTAATGTCTTTATACTTCTCCACAACTCGCCTAAGAAGGTGAATGATCTCAGTTATTGAGCGACAAGGCATAAAATTAAATTGATTCTCCAAAAATTTCACACTTCTTTAGAGTCTTTGCTCAATCACTCGCTCCCAAAGGTTCATGGTGTGACTCATAAGCTTAATCCCTAAATAGTTGACACATTATTGTACATCAATCTTATTCTTAAATACAGAAATGAGAATACTCTTTTGCCAACTCGTTGCATTTTGTTGTTTCTTCAAATCTTGTTCAGGAAACGTATTAATTAATGAATTGCTCGAAACTCAAAAGCTTGCCACTCCTACAACATACATGCCTATTTGGGATGACCTATCATACAAGTGCTTCATATGAAAGTGATTTCTGATTTAAGCTCTATAAGCACTTGTTTAAAATCTCTGAAGTGCTTTTGGATTTATAAAAGACCTGTCCTAGAAGTGCCTCAAATGAAAGTCGTTTCTCATCTAAGCACTAAAAGTTCATCTTTTAAAAAATTACAAGTGTGTGTTTGGGTCCCACTTTTGGAATCTGTGATGTGCGTTTAAATTTCTAAAGGTGTTTTTTATTTCTGAAAGTTGTTTGGTTTAATTATTTTCAGTTCATTTAAGTATTTCCAGTATGTTTCTAAAAGTCAGTTTGGCAAAAGTAACTTTACTTTTAAAACCGTATTATTTGTGCAGCAAAAAGCATGTTCATATTACTTTCCAAAACTACCAAACTCGTTTTTCAAGAATATAACCAGACACAAATTCCATGGCCGCAAATAAGTTTTACTAAGCTAACTTTTGAAAGTACTGTTTTTTCATTATCTATGAACACCACTATTAAAAGCACTTACACAATGAAAATAAGTCACTACATAAGCACTTGTGATGCCACCCAAAGTGATTATTTCCGTTTTTCTTGACAATATAAAGTAAAAGCCTAACAGTTTAAGATTATACGTGTTTATTATCATGACTTTATAGTTTATGTAAAGCGACTACATAAGAATTCAAAAGGCATGGAGCAATAGAAAGCATCAGAAAAATCTTCCCTAGTTAAAGTTATTAGAGACAATAAATGTAATCAACACAATGATCTGTTTTCTGAGTTAGTTAATCACTAAATAGATATTAAACAACCTATATTAATAAAAAACAAAAAACAAAGCTAAATATTAAACAAATATGATGGTATGATCCACAAAATCAATACTTAACCTATTTTCCTGTAGTTTCTATAAAAATACTACGTACTAAAATTCACAGTGTGTGAATTGCTAACAAACAAGCCTCCTTTTCCTCTTCTAAGTAGAAGCAGAGCAAGTTTCAAGAAATTACAATTTTTTAGGTAGAAAGAATCTAGCATGTCACACATAGATTAAGCTAATAGAAACAAATCATGATTTGAATTTATTGCGATAACATGTGAGTAATTGACTTGGCAGTGCCTCTGCACCAAATACCAACTTCTGGTACTCTGCCCTTAGTCCATTGATGACGTGACAGAATGGGTCAACGCAGAAACACTCTGGAATTTTAGCATTAATATATAGTAGTGGAATATAGTGGCAAGGTTGTCTTGTCTTATATGGAGAGTAGTCGAAAAGGAAGAGGTGATTTCTTGGAGGATATCAACAATAGGGCACAAAAAATCTTAGAGAAATGGAAATATAAAGTTTAAAGCTTATCAAATCAACATAAAATACATAAAAATTATTTTCCCACATTAACAACAATTCAACAAAATCCATTTTTGAGCACTGAAGGCTTGAAATTAAAGATAAAGCATGTTAAAAGGGTAATTAATACCTTGCTAAACTCTGAAGCTTGGGCTGCAAAAAGCTCTTAACTTTCTTGGAAGTAAGAGCATATCCCACCACCGTCACCTTCCCCGGCTGCGCCTGCGGAAACCCTCCGCCGCCCAACACCACAGCGTACTTCTGTCCCGCTACGATCTCATCAATTTCTTCTCTTCTATCCTGCTCCCCTTCCACTACCGCTTCCTCCTCGACCCCAATAGTCCTACCACCCATCTTCATTCCCAAGAAAATGCTCCTGACCAGTGACTACGAAAACAGAAATCACGGTTGGGAAAAAATCCCGGGAAACGAAAACCCAAATCACGATGAACTGTTTTGCCTTTTCTACGGTCGTTGGGAGATTATTCAATCGGTTTGATTTGGGGTTATGCGGCGATTATTTCCGTTGACAGAATCTTGGAGAAGCGCCGAGTGATCACGTACAAACCAATGCGTGGCTATATTGTAAGAATAAATGAACAGATTCAGTGAGGTTTGGGTGGAAAAAGAGAGTTCAGACTCATGCGAAGAAGAAGAGTGATTTTATTTGTGAATGAAATGAAATGCGTACGCTAAATGGATGCCGAAATGCAGCGCTTAAATGGACGGTTACATTCTTCTTCTTATACGAAGTATATATAGTGCCCGCGGATGAATATACTCATCCGATAGCGCCTATTCACCCGACCCGATTTTTCCATATGGATGTTACGTGGAAATTCATTCCTCGCCTTTTTAGGACAAAAAGTAAAAACAATTAATTAAACAATACGTAGAACTTTAGTTGCTAAATAGTAGCTAGTTCTAGAACTAGTATAGTATAGGCTTGTGAGAGATATTAAGAAAATGATGATAATAGCTCAAGACTCAAGAGTTAGAGAAAATTTTAAAATGTTTTTTTGAGAAGTAAAAGTCTAAAAGATTAAGAGTTGTTTTAGTAATTAACATTCAAATTGATTGTAATAAAGTAGAGCATTATAAATTGAAATTGATTTTTACTAAATTTTTATTAATTCGAATTATTAAAATTGTCATTTTCAGATTTTCCATGAGTTCTAAAATTTTAATTGCTTTAGTAAAATTTTGTAAGGATAAATTATCAACTATAAAGAATTCATCATCTGGGTTAAGAAAATGATAGCTAGTACTACTAACTAGTTTAGTCAGAGGAGGCAGTTAGCTGAGACAACGGCCTTGAGTCTCACATGTCAAGGGGCCTCCAAAATAAAAACTATTACTATTAGTATTATGTATAATTACTTAATAATTGAAAATTGGAATAAGAAAATTATCTTCTACGCATCCAGCAGGCAGCGGCGTGTCACGTGTAGATGTCTAAGTAAGGTAATAAGGATTTTAACTTTTTAATACTACAAGTATTTTAGTGTGATTACAGTGAAATAATGTCTACTAAAGGAGTAAAGGTGTAAAGTTAAATATTTAATATGCTGAATGTAAGACAAATAGGTATACTTTAAAAATTATAGGGTTAATATTGCTATACCGGTAAAACAAATTGGTATTGTATGGATTAGATTATAAAATACGTCAGATGATATAGCTAGACATGATATAATTAATGTGATGGTATTGGTATTACACTATTACTAAATTATTTAGTTTCTTTGATCTGTGCATTTAGTAACCCTCCACTCTTATTTAGTAACCCTCCACTCTTCTCACTCGCAAACATTATGTCGTTGAAGTCGCCAATCACCAGCCATGGGAGATTATTCCAAAATGCAAGGTCTCTTAACAGCCCACATCTCCTTTCTTCTTATGTGATCTGGTATTCCACAATAGCTCGTGAGACACCAGCCGTCACCACCTTCATCTACGTTGATCAAACAATCAGTAAAGAACTTGTTCAGACTTGGGGAGTTGGGGTTACATCCTAAAAGGTCAACCTGATAGGAGGAGTAGTTCAAGATCTTAATATATTATATTGTTTATTTGTTTTAAAGATATCCAGTGTGGGACAATAGCATACCTCCTCACGACCATACACTTTGTCTGTATCGTGTCATCATTCATATATTCATCAGTTTGCTATTATCATTTATTTGTATCGTGTCATCATTTTTCATATGAGACACACGTCATAGTTATGGATCGATTTAGCTCTATTCCATGTTAAGACTTGAGTTTCTATCATAAAAGGTCAACTTGGATGAGTAGCCAAAAAATTTAATATAGTGTAATTTTTTTAGAGATATGCGGAGTGTGACAACTACAGAACTAATTGAAATATAGATAGTATAAAATTGATCTCTACTTTATCTCTCTAGAATACAATCATGCCACTGGTCGTACCAATACAAAATACCAAAAAACCCTTAATGGAAACCAGGACTTCCCATTACTTCATTCACTTGTCATCAAGAAAATTGTTGGAGTTTTTTCTCTCTTGTCGAATTACTTAATATATACCGAGTTTTTTCCGGATTAATGTTAATTAATTAATTAATTACAGAATTAATGTTTGGTTAAAACTATTTACCAATATAGTGTTGAGCTTAATCCTAGTCGGGGAAAGTCGCTAAAGTCGTCAAACCGTTTGGCGACTTTGGCGACTTATAAATCACCGAACGGTATGGCGTCTGTCTACATAATACGGAGAGAATGCGTACAAACGAAGCACGCTTGGCTGGAGATAACACATGGGAAGAGTTGGGGGCTGGGGGCAATTAGAAGAAAACCTCTTTTTTCTTTAAATGGTTGTAACTTACATATTTTTCTTCCAATTTTTTAAAACATATACCAAATTTTATAACTTTTTGTGATCTTTCATGTGACATCAATTTGTAATATATAAAGTTAAAAAAAATAAGGAGACCATATGAGGTGAAGCAGAATTAGTCAAAGCTCGTGCTACGCACGATTTCCTTAAAACGTATTTGTTGCCTCCCACGGTGCTAGGAGCGTTGCAACAATCGTTTCCCAGGATACGATGACTACGAACTAATGTTTGAGCACACAAACAAGAGTTCCAGCGAACGAGAACCAAGTATGAACATAGAAGGAAGTTTGCTGAGTAGCTTTAGGTGTTTTTAGCTCAAGAAATTCGTGAGGAATGTATTGTGCGTTGTGTTGTTGCAAACCATCTGTCATCTATTTATAGGAGGATTTGTTGTGTGTTAAATGGGGTGTTAATGGACCTGAACGTTGGAGCAGTTCTGATGCTACCAGAAGACCTCCACCAGAGTTGGAGCAACTCTGATGCGAAGCCACCAGAGTTCGAGCAACTCTGATCCTGGGAAAAAATAAAACGTTACGGGAAGAAACAAAACTTAGACCGTATCTTTGAATGATAGGTTTTCGGATGACATTCGTGTCCGCAGGTCGCCCGCGCACACGAGTCGCGGTTTTTCTTCTCCGTTTCGGGATTTGATCGGCACCCCCCCCTGCGCGTAAGAGAGAGCCTTTCCCTTTAGGAATCTTAACTCCTTAAAAGAGGCTTCCCTTTATAAGGGGGTGAAAATCCCTTGAGTTTTTCGGTGTGGGATAAAACACACTAGAAACTCACCATTTTCCCAGTTTTTCAATTTCAACGAGTGAACTTCGAGAATCAATTTCTCATTCACCTGTTATCCGTTTTGAGTGTACCATATATCGAATTGTAGCCCTTAACAAGGACAATCCGAAACCACTTTGACCCGACCCAAATCGGAAGTGGACCCCACTCAAATAATTGCCCCAAAAAGACCATTTAATGCAATTTTAACACATTTTTCCAACAATCCCCCACATGAATGAAAATTGATTTTCGAGACTTAAAAAGACACGAAGATAGGAGGACACGTTGTGTTCACCGGATGATCCTTGCATACGGAAAGGTAGGTTTTATCCTTTGAACCTTCCATTGTAAAGACACGTTTATTTACTGGCTGTCTAGTAGACTCGATGTCCTTGAACTATACTGCCGTCGTGTAAACATTGACTTATCTTTACACAAGAACCTTCCAACTTTGTTCCGTTCTCATGGGTGTGCCCGTTTTGGCCATGGGTCACCGTCCTGGTTCTGCAAGAGTTTCTAAAGAACTGAGCCTTTACAGTTCTCCTTTGAAGCGGCCCTCTTCTCTCTCACATAGGTGATTCTTTCACGAGTATCCCGCATACTCTTCCAATGTTATCGAGTAGATCAACATTATAGAATCATTAAAGCAAACGTTTTTGCTAACCTCGTGCGGGAGTCACTGTTTTAACGAGGAGTGGGTAGGAGTCCGGGACCCCCACAGTGACCATCCTTCGCTCTATAATTTAGTTGTCCCTTTTGAACCTAGGACCAACTAGGTTGGGTATCCACTATAGAACTTTTCAATTCACGGGCTTTAGTCCCATTCCTCGTGACAACTTCTCCAACAATTCTCTATCCAATGCCTTGGTTAGCGGATCCGCTATGTTATCCTTTGACTTCACGTAGTCAACAGTGATAACACCCGTTGTGAGGAGTTGTTTAATGGTGTTATGTCTACGACGAACGTGTCTAGACTTACCATTGTAGAGATTGCTGTGTGCCCTTCCAATTGCCGCTTGACAATCGCAATGAATGCATATTGGAGGGACAGGCTTCTCCCAACTTGGAATATCCTCGAGAAAATGGCGTAGCCATTCAGCCTCTTCAGTGCACTTATCCAAGGCTATTAGCTCAGATTCCATCGTGGATCTAGCTATTAACGTTTGTTTCGAGGATTTCCACGACACGGCTGCACCTCCCAAAGTGAAAACATATCCACCTGTGGATTTAGAGTCCTTTATGTCGGATATCCAACTAGCGTCGCTATACCCTTCAAGTACAGCTGGATATCTTCCATAGTGCAGTCCAAGATTTTGGGTTTTACGTAAATACCTCAAAACCCTTATTATTGCCTTCCAGTGTTCATCACCGGGGTTGCTAGTATATCTACTTAGCTTACTAACCACAAAGGCAATATCAGGCCTGGTACAACTCATTAGATACATCAAACTTCCAATAATCCTAGCGTATTCAACTTGAGAAATACACTCTCCACGATTTTTGGTAAGATGAGTGTTTTTATCTAATGGCGTCCTTGCCTCTTGATAATCATCCTTATTAAATTTAGTAAGGATTTTATCAACGTAATGGGATTGGCTTAGCGTTAGACCGTCATGTCCTCTAATTATTTTAATCCCAAGGATTAAATCGGCCAGCCCCATATCCTTCATGTCAAATTTAGAATTTAACATGTTTTTGGTAGAATTAATCATTAGATTATTGCTACCTACGATGAGTATATCATCCACGTATAAACATAAAATGACATAGCCGTCTACTGTGCTTTTCACATAGACGCATTTGTCACTTTCGTTTATCTTAAACCCATTAATTAACATTGCATGATCAAACTTTTCGTGCCACTGTTTAGGGGCTTGTTTCAATCCATACAATGATTTAATTAATTTACAAACCTTCTTTTCTTGGCTTGGAACACGAAAACCTTCGGGTTGTTCCATATAGATTTCTTCGTCTATATCGCCATTTAGAAAAGCGGTTTTTACGTCCATTTGATGAACTTCCAAATTCCGCAAAGCGGCAATCGCTAGTATCATCCTAATGGAATTTATTCTCGTCACGGGAGAATACGTGTCAAAGT